TTGCTGTTCGGAGTGTTCTCAGGTTACAAGGCCTGGCTCAGCGCGAACCGGAGTCGGCACCTTGCAGTAGGGTTTTTTGCGGAGGGGGGGTGGTGTGGTGTGCCACCTAAGGCCAGCCCACAGGATGTCCAAAGAGATCTTCAGGCAGCCTGCCGCAGAGCAATCTGGATTCCTACAGCTCTCAGCCTGGAGGTCTCGACACCTGCAACTTCCGGCCGCACGGGGGTCGGAAGCTGATGATTGATCCATGCGGTGCTTGCGGATTAAAGTGAGACAAAGCTGAACTCAGGTAACACGCCCAAGCTCACTCCGTGGTACTCAGGCACAGAATCGTCTCTGGAAGTCCCATTTTCTGGAGTCGTCCGGTTTCAGCCTGGTTTACACGGCGTCTCTCTGTTCAGGGCAGCGGCAGTGATGTCGTTCGGGACATCCAGGCGAGACGTGTAGCGGAGATTTCAACACCATTCACAACCTGGTGACACTGCTGAGATGTCGCCTCCAACCTCCGGCAGAGTTGGAGCTTGTGGCTAAGTAAGCTTGCTAGGCACATGACCCGGAGCATGCATTCGTACAGATAAAAGAAGCCGAGGTGTCTCCGCCATCATCAACAAGGGCAAGCGCCGGTGCCCTTGTCCCGCCATCTAGCCAAAGTCCCAACGCCAACACCAAAAGTGCGAAGGTCACACGGCCTGGGTCGGCCCGCACAGGGGCCAGTCCACAGGACATTATCCGGGACCCCCAGGCACACCACGCATAGGTCCCAAACATTGGAGAAAACAGCAGGAATCCACCGAGCGCCTCAGGTGTCGCGGCCTGCTTCCACAAGGGTTGGGGTCATGACCTCATGGATCACACTCACGGCCTCGATCTGGTGCATTGAATTCGCAAAGCTTTGCCAAGGTGCCCAATTCTCCCACACCCTCCATCGCGAGCTCGTCCGGTGGTGTGCGGCGCTTACTCAGAGTGAATTAACCTGAAGCGTTTGCGGAATCTTTTCTGATCCTGCGTAAAGGTGGGTGCTGATGGGCGCTTGGATGTGCAGGCATATTCAAAACCAGACAGCACACCGCTGAAACCTGCATGGAGCACGTAGCCCTGGTCCAGGCACACTACGTGCTCAGGCGTGGAACGCACTCTTGCAAACATGATTCTGTGGACTGACGTTGGGTTTCTGCCAGGATGGGCCAGGCAGGTGTGGCACGCTCCAGCACAGTGCCAACATCCGCGCGGACCGTTGTGCAAGGCCAAATGATCGGCCATTTGCACACATTTGCACGCCCGTAAATTACAGAAACACTTTGACAGTGGCAGGAACTCCACAGACGGCGCCCAACACGCCTCGCCAGCCAGCTTCTTCTCGAGGCGGGGACGAAGAGGCGAAGTTGAGCCAAGGCTCCCCTTTTCCATGTCTGTATGCTGGTGTTGCTCGGCATGCTCTTGGTCTGGTCTAGGCATTCCAGACGCTGGCAAGGCGAATATGTCTCAGCCTAGTACCATCCAGCGGTTGGTTTGGCCAAAGATGTCTGGTTCAAGCGCGTCATAGATTCACATTGCAGGTTGCTACGCACCGTGTGGCCTGGCACTCTGTGGCTGCAATTCAGAGTGGACGAGTGCGTTCCTTCTGTGCAAAAATGGTTTAACAGCAAGGTCACATCCCCCCATCCGTCTCATCGGGCGACTGCCTCGGAAGAGACCCAAAGAGAGAAGATAACATTGCGTGCTGAACCCACAGAATGCACTGGAGTCCACCTTGCGATCCAGTTCCGGGGTGGGCTCTAGCCGGCTATCGAAGTGAAAAACATTGTCGACTCTTGCTTCTGAGGTTACGCTCTCGAATTCTGCGCGTGCCGCTCGAGCCAAGTGCTCAGATGCAACCTCTCAGACAGGAAAAACTCTGCCTCCAGCGACGCCAGCGACGCAGCGAAGAGAGTTTCTCTGCTTTGTTGGCTTAGGCTCCAGAAGTTCGCCCTGAACAGGCGCAGGCAGCGCAGGCAGGTTGCTGCACCCAGTGGGTTAGCCACAAAGTGGTGTTTTTTTGGCCTAACTCCAAAAGGAGTTTCACTGTTTCAAAGCTTGCAAGCTCGCCAGGGCCAGGCTCGCTACGTCAACGTGGTTCGCCCCATGGTGCCCGAGCCCTGGGCCTTTGACGCATGATCCCTTTGCAATTCCCATGTGATTGCATACTCCTAGCAGAGTTGAGGTTGTCAGGGGTCTTGGACAGTCAGGATGGGAAGCCGCGTGGCAGGATCAAGTCCCGTCCAGATCTCTCGACGTGTGGTTACAGGTGGGCATGTTCATTCCCTGGTTGCAGCTCCCTCCCTGCACGTGTTCTTTTCATTTGAGATCCGACGCGGCATCCCTGCAGGCCACGGAGCCCAGGCCACACCCAGCACCCCGCGTCAGCCGGCAACACGAGGCAAAAGCATCCTGGTAATCGACCACTCATACGGTATCATACAATCAAAAAGTCGAGAACTTCGTCCAGGTGTTGCGGCTACCGTTCCAAACGTGGGGCGGCTCAGCTTTCTTCCTGACCTGCAGTGCAGCCAGACAAGTTTCTGCGATCAGCTGACCCGCTGCACTTGTCAGGCCCGCATGGCCTACCCCACCGCTTGGGCATACGGGCGCATGCGCTGAATGAAGGGCTGAATGACAGCAGTTTCTTAGCCTTTGACATTTGTACTTATTTGCCAGCTAGACTCCACTTTAGAGCTTTGCGAAGGCGCATGCCGTGTTCCTTTGCATTGTGCAAGCCCAAGCTATATGGCCTTTGTTTCGAAAAGCCCCCGCAAAAACGGATTGTTTGAGCATGCGGTCTCGCACTAGAATACCGCCAATCGGTGGGTGCTCCCGAGCCGTTTCTACCCTTGGCAACAGCCAAGATTGAACTTCCTTGTAGCGCCTGGCTGTGGCGCTTTCAGCTGAGCCACGTCGCTGCGGCCCAGCGCACAGCGGAGGGTCTGTTCCCCACAAATTTGCAGCACAGCGGCCATAGCAGAAAGCAACCGCAAAAAAGAGAATATCGGATAAGAACTCCGAAGAACTTCCCGCTTGTTGCTTTACCTTGTATGGGGGAGGATCCCACGCAGTGGAGATGGACATAGCAAAGGAGTGAATTTCACAGTTCACAGCGGAGCAAAGCTGATCCGGTGAAGCAAAAAGAGAGCACACCTACGAGATCAGCATCGTGGTCATTTCTACCAGAACCATTATCCTGCCGCCTTCAGCCTTTTTTAACGAATGACTTTGGTCCTGAGTGCTCGCCCAGTGCTGGGTCATGAGCGCATGCTAAAGCACCACTGGCAGTTGTTAGCGTCCCTCCTCCCAAACCCATCAAGTACTCTCAGGGTGGGGGTCTTCCGGACTTTGCCCCGAACCACAACAAACACAGAAGCTTCAAGGTTCAGGGTTGCGTGTCCTAAACCATAAAAAAAATGTAAAAGCAAGCCACAATGCCAGTGCACGAAACCTCCAGATCAATTGGCCTCAAAACGCCGAGTCTCGACGAGGAATTTAGACCAAGACCAGAAATCACTGGGAGGGCTTAACTGTTGTTTTCACTGCCTTACGGCTGCATTGCTGAGGCTTGGGCTATGTGACCCCTGTGCAGAATCACAAGGTTCGCTCGCTCGAATTGGGTTTTCCTGCAAGCACAAACCAGCCTCTCAGCAGGGTTTTTTTGGTGGTGGAGAGAGGTTGAAATGCGCAGGCCGAGTCATCATCAAAAGCATTCAAAACCGAATCGAAACAGCAGAGTTTATCACAACCTGCTGAAAGGTCTGAATTGTAGCGCTCTGGCTGGGCTGTTGGGAAAGTAGTTGTCTTACTTGCGGGAGCAAAGATCTGAGGTCATTCGAGCAGATCATGTTACACACAAATGTTTTGTGAACTTGTGAGCATTTTGGCGAGCAGAGGGCCTTCTCACAGATTCGCGCGGCTCCGCATCAGCAAGGGCAACGCCCGCGCCTGCCGCGAGCACCTGGAGCGAGAAGAGCCCTCAGCATTGCTGGGCCAAATCAACAGGTGATTTCATAGGCGCCGCCCGTTAAGCCAAAGGTCGGCCTCCCTTTCGTGGCTGAACTTTAAGTGCTCAGCATGCCCCATTGGCAGCCCTGAATGTGTTTGTGGTGCCGACGCCAATTGAGCCTCGAAACAAGTATATAAAGTACCAAGGTGAAGCAGCAACAGAGTCTCCGAAGCGCACCTCTTAAGTGCACAAAAAAAGCACCGCATGTGGAGAGCCACTCCTGACGCAAAACCCTGCTCACAGTGCTTGTATTCGCTTCCTTCGATTCAGGCTGTGTCTTGGGTTTACTTGGTAGCTTGAGTAAGATGGTCTTGTCTTGATGGACACCATGTCCAAGCCATGAAGAAGCTAGCCGCAGATAGCATCCGCCTCATCGTGGAAGCAAGTCTCGAAGGCCGGCCATGAAGTTCTTCAAGGCAAAGGCACAAAAGCACAAAGCAAAACACTGACAGAAGAGGAAGACGAGGGAGCACCTTCGCTGAACGGCATCCTGTGGGGTTTCAGAAAGCGAGATGTCACCAGCTGTCGAAAAGAAGAACTTTGCAGGCAAGAGCTATGGGAAGACCATGTACAAGGCGCCAGCTTCTCCTGCAAGTCTGGAGTTACTTCCAGTTCAAAGTTAGAAATCGCGAAGCCACTGTAGGGTCTAGAAGCCACTGCAGGTCTACGAGGCTTTTGCTGAGCTGAACGAGGAGAACAGGCGCGAAGCCCCGTACCTCTTCGTCTGGCTGCATGGCATGGACCGCCTTGTGCAACCATGTCATGGCTCAGAATCACTTTCAAAGCTGCAGACCTGAAACACATCTAAAGCTTGCGATGATCTTCTCTAGAACTCGCCGAAGGACAATGGCATGATCGAGCCACATTACTTGCAGACCATGCAGTCCAGAATGCACCGACGTGTTATTTTCATGGTGCCTTGAAAGCACACCCTTTCTGCTGGAAAATGCGAGCTTGGCACAGAAAACGAGTTGCTGAGGTCCCAAAAAGTCCAGGCAACACAGCGGATGGTCTGTACTTCAACTGGGGCTGCTGCTTTCGCAAAAGCGACAACAAGAAGCAACTAGGCGCACGGGCAAGAGTACTAGCAAGAAGTGTCTGCGTTGTTCTAGTCACACAATTCTTCCTTGCGAGTCATGGCTGACCATCGGTTTCCTTGCGAAGCTTGGGGTTCCATAAGCAACCAAAGCGTTGACAGCCTGCATACGACAGGCTATGTTTTTGGAGTGCTACACCAGGACTGCGTTTGCAAGGGTTATCCAGTTCTCCAGGGCAGACATACATAAACGGCTATGGCCAAAAATGAGGTTTCCAACGCAGCTGTTGAATGACATTGGCACCCTTTTTCATCGCCTTCGGTCTCACATCTCCCTGATACAAGGGGGTATGTCAATATGTTTAATGCCAGGCTTCCTCATGGAAAATGGTCAGGCCGTCCCCAGCAACATCACTTGCTTCTGGGAGGAAGTACGAGTTTAGGTTGAAGAGGGTTCTTGGAAATCTTCCCACGGTCCTCTGAGCAGGATGGAACCCATTTTCAGCGATAATGCTCTGATGCATTCCCTTGGCAGGTAAAAGCATTCTTGTATTGTGTTGCGTGTGTCGTGTCAGACTCCACTCCTCAAGAGTTGCAATTTGTACCTAGCTGGGCTCCAAGGGTGTGCCTACAAGGAGTATCTGCGCGACCTCACTGCAAAGATCAGTGAGATTGCGTGCACCTTCCAAGCTCAGCGAACCTTGGTGATGGGGATTCTTGGCCTGCACTCCTGCACATGCAAACATGAAACACGTGTGAGCAGTGCGTTAGCTGGTAAAAGGGGAGTCTGGGAAGGCAAGTTGTCAGGTCGCAATAATGTGATCTCAGAAAAACGTTCTCTGTTTGCACTAGGGATCTCGGCTTTGGGTCCCAGATGAAGTTGAGCGTGAGGGAGCCCAGCTCTAATTGATGACAGTCTTGTAGATGAGGGGGTGTGAGGGGGTGGTGGCGTGTCAAGACACAAGCACTCACCAGCAGCTGCTTGATTCTGTTCTGTAGGAACTGCATGAACACGCGCAGGCTGTCCAAACCAGCCTTTTCTTCACCATGATGGTTGAACCCAGGCAACAGGCCCTACAGACTTGAGAGCATTGACACCTTCAACGCAGAAGATAAGTCCAGCACCCCGAACCGAGCTCGAGAAAGGTACAGCATGGGCGGCTTTGGTGCCTTCCAGCTGGGTAGTATGGCTCCAGAAGCTCAGCTGCATTTCACATCTCAGGGCGGGATGGGCTTGTGGCCGGCAGACCAAGCATGACCACTCGGGAGGCTCTGAGAAGCCCTGCGAATCAAAGAACGGGATTGGTGATTTCAAGGGAAGTCGTTCGCAAGTGGCTTGAGAATGCTTACCCCAACTGACGAGAGTCAGCAAAGAAGCAAGGCAAGGTCAGTCAGAATATGATCAACACCACAAGCGTCACTACAATGACTGCCTGACCTCCTATGCTCATCATGATGATCATGCGAATGATTATGATTGCAGTTGCCATCCTAGTGGTCACTATTGTAAGATTGGGTTCAGCCAGTAAAGCCGAGGATGTCTTCGACGTGGTAGTGTCTGTGGCTGGATATGGGCTCGGAACATTGGAGCCACAAGGCCAGCACGCAGGGGCCGACAGAGACAGGGAGGTGCACCCCCACCACCATCCTTGTCCCGAGCACACGGGGCCAGAGTCCTACTCAGAACGGTTCCACAATGATCCTCATGAAGCATGTTTGCGCAGGCGAGATGTATGATGCTCCGCAGCCTCAGGCTGGCGAGAGATTCGACATGTTCCTCCAGCAGGCACAAATCTGAAGACGACATATGTTGAAAATTTGCCAGCTTGGTAAACTACTTACCGTCATGGGAATGGTGCCGCGATGAGATGAGATTGCCATGTTCAAGCGCTGCGCAGAACACTGATTGAGCTCAGCAGAAGACAGCAGAAGGTCTCATGTGGTACGCAGGCTGAGTTGTTGCCTTGCAGAAATTCTTTGCAGGTCGCCTCAAGACTAAGCCTCGTGCCCGTGGTCTTGGCGATGCACGCACAGATCCTTGCTCACGACTTGCAATGAATTGGCTTTCTCGTCAGATGTGGATTGATGTGTTTCTCTGCCCTACATGCGCTGTTTTTCCAAAAGCTCGATCTCATTACAGCATGCACCTGCCGCAAGGAAGGATTCCATGTCCAGCTTTCGGGATGCTGCTTTGACAGCATCTTCAGACTTCACACAAAGCAGGCTCAACTGTGGCTCCTCATCTTACCAAGGTTAAGGCCATAATCCGCCACGTGCAGGACCGCCTCTGGACCTGAATCAAGACGTTGGGTGAATGAGAGTTTGAGTTGGACCTGTTTCAAAAAGCCATTTTCCAATTGCCTCTTTCACCCTCAGATCACAAATCTCTGCAGGAGGTGAGCATCAAGAAGGGCTCTGAGAGTATCGTCCAGCTTTTTGAGGCGCACAGCTTTGATAGATTCAGCAAGAGTACCTGCAAGACATAAACAACCCCCCCTCACTCTACATGTGAGGAGAGCAGCTCGTATACGTGCTTCCAAAAACTGGTCTTCCCATGCACCCCAAACAACCACGTAGACCTCCAGGGTAGGCCGTGAACCAATGGCTGATGTATTGTTTCATTAGGAACATGAAGTATCAGCTTAAGGGGAATCCGAATTCCCGCATGCGCATTCCACAGGCAAACTTGACAAAACTACAGGCCTGCAAATGGGAAGGCTCCACAACACCAAAACCATGAGCAGCATCAGTTGGGGCCCTTTCGACGACATTCCGTGTCAGAGCCCTTGCCCTTGCTGAGATTTTTAGCTAGCGGGCTGTTGCGATCTTCTCAAATAAGATGAGATTTGGAGTGCCAGAGGGCAAGCATCACGAGCATAAGCTGACGGGCTTGGGCAGTTCACGGCCACAGTGGATCTCGGACATGCTGTGAGTCAGCAATGTCGCCAAGAAAGGTGATAAGGTGCAAGATCCCAGCAAGTTGAAATGGAAGGTTACAAGATTCTCCAAGCATTCATGGTTTTGCATGATATGAAAGTGACAAGCGGTGGGCACGTCGGCATTGGAAAGGCTCCAGCAGTAAGCTTTGCTCAGGTGCCAGATGAAAGAGCCGACTCCGACAGGGGACGAAGGAAGAAGAACAAAAGTGGCAGGGGACCTAGCCGTCCTCATTGCATCCTGCGATGGAGGCAATTGCTCGCCAATCCTCAAAGCTTGCTTGCGGTTTGCTGCTGTGCGTTGACGGTAGCAGTGTCTGTTTTTTGTCAAGAACTCCCAGCTGCCACACAAGACTCTAGGCCACCACTACTTCAACTACACCCTCCTGGATGACTCTAGCGATGACTTTTTCTGGTCAAAGCTTCAAGGGTTTCTTCAAGTTGCCGTGGCTCGGCTGATGTTTCGCACAGAAACTGCTGAGGTCCCAAATTTGCACCGTAGGGTTCTGAGTGATTTGGAGTTGGGATAGGCTTGGGCTAAGGGGCCTCGACTGGAGCTGCAGACTGTGAGTTTGGACTCCATCGCGCGGTTCAGCATGTTGCAGACAGGCAGGTCCGCAACTGGAAACAACTGGTGTTACCTGCTTGACTGTGCTTGTCGGACAAATTACTCATACCCGGCCTGCTGAAGGACTGCCATGAGGGATGATATGATTGGTTATTGTCCTTTGTTCCCTATTCCAGAAATTGATGGCCTTATCCTTGTAGCTGAGATTGTACCTCCAAGTTTGCACAAATGTGAAGTGGGTCTAGATGAATCAACTAGGTCAAGCGAAAATTGACAGAAATGTAAGTGTCTTAGATTAAGGCAGGCCAGGATTAGAGGCAACCAGGCTGCAGTTCCGCTTCTGGCATACCAATCCGCAACTATCCCTAACTAGCCCTAGATCCATGTTCCATTTTTCTCGGAAGCTCAATCCGACTAAGAACTCCTGAATGAGGCACACCGATTTGTGCGAGATGCGGGACCTGGTGGAAGGCAACCAAACTGTTACTCTTGTGCAAGGGGAGGTGCTCATTCTTGGCAAGGACGTTGATGCTGTTCTGTGCTTGTCCAAAGCTGCTTTGGATCTTCGCATCTACTTTGACTCACAGCCCAGCTACATCGCAAAAGACATCTCATGCAATGCGCGCTAAGAAGTCAGCCCTTTTCATGAGTATAATGCTGGAAGTCCTCAAAGCACTAGCTAAGAAGCGGGCATCAAAAACGGAAGATGCATTGCTGAGTTGTCTTGAGGGTTTGGCCTGGTTTGTCACCAGCAGGACGGATTGGAAGATGGCTTGAAAGGTAAACCGACAGCTGAAGACCGCAAAGTATGTGCAATCAACTTTGTTTCTAGACAAATAAGCAAGATTCATCTCACTGTCAGTTCTTCCAAACACCGTGTTGTGAACACAGCGGCCAGCCCTTCCAGATACGCAGCATGAAACTCCTGTCGAAGAAGCTAAGCATGTCGTTCCCCAAGACACTTTATCAAGTCTCATTCTTCATCAAAGCCTTATTGCTCCGCAAGCCTTGGGTGCAGGCCCTTGTCGGAGCAAGCTTGAAAATCCAATGTGAACCTCAGGCCCATGCGGAGGAAGAGGTGGCAAAGAGCCGGGGCGTTCCCAGATTCCTTTGGGAAGGCGCAGCAGAGGGAAGCCGGTCGAATGGTCGATGAGAGGATGCCAGCTGTGGGAAAGCCCTTTAGCAACATTGAGAAGAACTTGGTCTTCTGAATTTTGCCACGCACTGGTGCCAGGCATGTCCCAGCGCTATTCGCCTTACTGACAGCTCGCCAAACCATTGGAGAAGCGCAAGATGCCTTTGCATCGCTGCCTCCCTGCGTCAGTCATCAGTTCAAAAAGACCGAAACTTGCCCTGCATGCCTCAGCTGCTACTTTACATGCAGCTACAACTGTTCTGAACATGTTCAGGTATGTTGGATTTCTCTTCAATTCAGGGCTGTGAAAGGACAACAATCGTTGATCTGTGCCAGCAGTGGGATTCAGAACACATGGCATGGAAAGGCTTGTGCGCCACAGAAACGCATGACCTCATGTGGCTTCGCTGAAGGGTCGACGACTCACATGGCAAGAGACATATTCCTCCACCTACATCCTCCATGTGACATTTGTCTTGTGTCGCCAGCATCATTCTTCAGGGCACTGCAAAGGGGAGGGGAAAACGTTTCGTCTCGGCAGGTCTTGTCTCAACCTGTAATGCCCGGAGTGCTTGCGGAAAAGTACAAAAATCTGCAGCTAACTTGGCTCAAATCCCAGGTGCAGTCACGTCTCTTTTCCCGTCTCTCTGTAGACCATGACGACCACTGGAGTATGGGATGCTGCAAAAGCAGGCAGGTAGTTCAGGTGAAGCACTCGTAGCTGTTGTTTTTTCTGCTTTTTCTGGTGAGGCTTCGAGATGAAGCGCAAGTCCTCCTTCTCGCTGCTCGATGCTGAAGCGCACCGTCCAGCGCCTAGCAGCCAAGAAGCCCTGAACTCAGCCTGAGTCCAACTCCTGACTCCCTTTCCTTTCCAGCAGCATCCATTTTCTCTCTTTCTCTCTCATGAAGCACTGTGAAGGACGGCTCACGCATGGAGAAGCTCCGGCAACTCATGGACCACTACGACCCTCGCTATCACCCAGACTCGTTTGAAAACATGCCTTGGGTCAATCGTAAGTAAGGGATGACAGATGATGACAGCATACATCAACAACCTTCCTGCAAAAGCAAAGGAACCGAATGATCCCGAGTCGATCCAGAGATCTTTTGCTCGGCATTTGGAGTACTCCTTGGCCATCACGAGGTTCAATTTCACCATGCAGGCCCTGAGCCTCAGAAATCTTTCGAAAACTCACGGCACGCAGCTTTGATTTGCTGCTTTGCTGCTTTGCTGCTTTGCTGCTCTGCTTCGAGACAATTCGTTCTGAAGGATGCCTACCGTGCGGCGGGTCTCGTGCTTCGTGATCGGTTGCCCGGCTCAGGGGCTCAGGCTATTAGGCTGCTGCAGCACGCACCCAGAATTTAGGTTGCTGGAGAGCCTGAACGATACCAATGCCTACTACAGGGAGCAGGATGTAAAAAGGCCGGCAATGACATCATAGAACTCATTTTCTGCCTTGGCAAAGTGCAGGGGATATTATCTGTCCGCCGAGTACCTCATCGGTCGTCATATGCAGAATGCCATTGCAAATTTGGACCTGGAGCAGTCCTTCAAGGAAAATCAGCCCCTACCCGTGACAACCACATGTGGCCAGCTGATAGGTGCGGCATGTTTGACGTCCTTGTTTTGTCCAGGACGCCTTCGAAGATTTGGGCATGAAGCTCGAGGCCCTACGCTTGGTCAAAGTCTGCATGGACTCCTCTTGCGCCTGCCGTTCCACCCCACGCTCCGGGGTTTAAACATCTCAAATAGGACACATTAGAATACCAAAAAACGCTGTAAGGGTAGTAAAGCAGGAGCTTGAAAGTTGAGTGCAGCCTAGCTGTGCTAACAGGACTTGTTCGCGGAAGAAGCAGATCCGGCCCTGGGCAATGGAGGTTTGGGCCGTCTGGCCGCTTGCTTTCTGGACTCCATGGCAACCCTGCAGCTTCGCTCAAAACCAAAGACACCCCCTGGAGCTCAAGAGTAAGTCTGACGGCTCCTAAGGTCACTACCATGCTGGGGATATGGCATTCGCTACAGCTATGGCATGTTCAAGCAGGGCATCAAGACTCTTGGCTAGAAGATCCTTGGGGAAAGTCAGCCGCGCCAAGCGGGTAGACCCTGGTAAACTCTACCTATGTTGCCTTTGGTAGAGGTGGCTGAAGATACCAACGCGTGTAAAGCGGAGACGCAGCCATAGTAGTCATAACTCTAGATACCCTGTGCAAATTTCAGGGACGGTCGGCAAGTTGAAGAGCCAGATTTTTGGATTGGCAGGGAACCCCAGATGCGATGGAAGGGGGGCTAGTTCCACCATCCTACAAGAGCTTTCCTTAGGATGATTGAGCTTGCTTCAGTCAGTGCCGCTTCGTCAACAACCATTCAGACCAGTATGAGCATCATGCCGTTCTTCTTGTCAGGACACGCAATAGGCCAGTTTTGAGTTGGTTACGTAAAGCATGTGAGCCCATTGTGAGCCAGGTGACGGCTGCCCCTTTGAGATTCCTCGGCCAGATGTCACGTACCCTGTACGCTTCTATGGCAAAGTAGAAGAGGCCTACGAGAACGGCAAGAACATCTCAAGGCCGAGCCTCTCAAGCTAACGCAAGACTGGCGCAAGATGATGTGATGCAATGCTTTGGGCGGCAAGCTTGCAAGGTGGGTTGGTGGCGAGATTGTGCAAGCAATGGCCTACGACAACCCCATTCCGGGTTTTGACGCTTATTTTCTGATGAGAAGCTTTAAGCAGTTCAAGCCGCTGTGTTTCGAGGAAAAGCTTTAGGATCTTCAGAGCACAGCAGAAAGGTGCCGTCTTTCTGAGGACACGTACAACACCAACAATTTGCGGCTTTGGCGGGCGCTGCCCAGCCAGGACACTTTTGACCTTCTAGCGTTGCTAAGTCCTACCAGGGGTTCTTGCGGTGCAGGGAAGCCCAGTTTATAAAAAGAGGAGTTTGACTTGGACGCCTTCAGCAGTGCGCACTTCCAAGATGCAATCACCCAACGCCGCAAAGCAGAAGATCTATCTGCAGTGCTCTACCCCAACGCCGCTGGGCAGCATCTGCAAACCAGATGTTCTTGAGGTGGCAGCCTGCTTTTGCGTGCAAAGGATGCCACATACGAGGGCAAGGAACTTCGTCTTCGGCAGCAGTACTTCTTCGTGAGTGCTTCCTTGCAGGCCCCTGACATGCTTGGCAATGGGATGGTTGCGTCGCATCCTGCGTCAGGATTTGCTGCGTGAGTTCATCAAGCGGCCCAACTACAAGTGGGAAGATCTTCCCGAAAAGGCTCAGCTTGCTGAAACCTTGATTCTGCCTTGAAGTCCGGGTACAAGGGATGCTCGGGATGGAGGTCGCAGTACAAATGAATGATACGCATCCCACAATTGCTGTGGCAGAGATGATGCGACTGTTGGCCACCTAGCTGCAACCGTGGATTGCACCTAGGACCTAAGCTTGTTCAAGGTGTCATGACATCTTGGATCTGCAAAAAAGGACGGTTTGATGTAAGCTAAAGGTTACAAACAGGTGCTTGATGTACTGGCTCAGGTCGATGTTCAGCAGCTGCAGTGGGATCGAGCATGGGAGCTCACAAGGCGACTCCTCTTGGAATCGTGTCGCCCTCCCTCGAGCATCCTACCCCTGTGTCCGCTTCTTGTCAGCGACGCAAGGAGTACTACCTTGATGTCCTCTTCTCATTTGGGTTGACGCATGATTGTCAAGCGAGGCCTATCTGGTCAAACTTGAAAAAAATCCTCCCTCGAGCGTCCACCCAGAGACCTCTAAGAACGCGCGTCAAACAGGACATCGAGCACAAACCAACCCAGCCAAAACATGAGCATCAGAAATTGCTGACATATTCCGTGTCAGAACCAACCCAACTTCAAATTTTTAGGGTGCCAACCAACCCGGCCCCAGCACTTGGTCAAGGCCAGAGGGGGCATGTTCCGCAAGCTGATTCAAAGAACATTCAGCGATTTCCACAGGAGCTTCGAGTCATAGCGCTGATGAGCCTGAGAGTCAGCAACGACGGAAATGCTGCTTTCACTCTCTCCTTCCTTTTGTCCTTTGTCACACTTCATGTTATACACCCTGGCCGACTGCTTGCTGAAATCCTGGCCCTGGCAGGAAGTGCTTAAATTACACCAACCACACCGTCATGCCAGAGGCCAGGAGAAGTTGGTTGTCCTTGTGGTTCCCGAGTGCTCTGATTTGATTTCCTTCAGGCCAGAACATGCACATGACACTCATGGTGATAGGATATGTAAATTCGTAGTGGCCCTATCCTTCATAGTGGTGCGTTGCGCTGCTTTTGTTTTTCCATTCGTTCCTGGTTTTTGATGTTTGGCTCGCTCGTGGGTTTCCTAGGCATTCTTCCTGAAGGTCTCGTTCTAGTTTCCTCCCGCAGGCTTTGGAGAAATGGCCGGTGGAGATGATGGAGCGAATGCTGCCGCGACATTTGCAGATCATCTACCAAATCAACGGAATTTGGATTCAGAAGCTCCTGCAAAGGCCACAACCGATAGCCATTACTTACGTAGCCCTTAGCGACCTTCCGGGTGTTTAGGTGTTGTTGCTTTTGTTGCTCCAAGGCCCAGGTCCCTGCCCAAAAACACCCCCTTTCCTCATTGCAGAGGTACGGTGACGGGCCACTTATTGCGGCCTTGAGCATTGTTGAGGAAGGGGATGTCAAGAAGATTCGAATGGGCCACCTCGCCATCATCGGTGCCAACAAGATTAACGGAGTTGCTGCCATCCACACCGAGATCATCAAAAAGGACTGCAGCTATTTGTTAGAGAAAACCTTTTTTACAAACTGTGTTCGCGATCAGGAAACCTTTCCAGAGTACTACAAGTGGTGCTGCGACAACGGGGAGCAGAACAAGATTGTGCCTCAGTATGTTAAAGCCCAGGTCGTCCAGAGACCATTTTAAATTGCTGGCGAAAGCATTTGCCACAGGAAAAACGGACAACAGCCTTCAGTAAGCTGGATACGCATAAACTTGGAAACTCAGCAGCCAGGAATTTCTGACAGCGAAGGCAATGATCAGATCCATTTGTTCTGAATTTGTCTTCCCCGCACTGTCGTACTCGGAGCGTCCTGAGGTGGTACTGTTGTGAGTTACGTGGCTTTAGGACTGCATCTCCCTTCGTGTACCCTTCGGAAGACAGTATCAGCGCTTCTGCCGGCCTGTCTTTCAGCTACGCACATTCAATTTTTTCGACAAAAACGAGGTGAACATGACCAACGGTGTGACACCACGACGTTGGATTCACTGCGCAAACCCTGCTCTCAGCGAAATCTTTACCAAATACCTCGGCTGCTTTGCTGCAGATATGGTGATGTCACGGCTACTCAGTCGCCACCTACTTGCTTGCTGGTCTTGAATTGTTGTACTCTAGCCTTCGGAATTCATGTGAGGGAAGCAGGGCTAGTGTTGCTCTTGCATTTTGCAAACAAATCATGATGAAACGGATTGTAAGCCACACACTAAACCCTCTACACTATGGTACTTTCATTTACATGATACTTTTTGCTTGCTGCAATGTCTGCGCGATCAGGATCGCAGGAGTGGCTGACCGACATGAACAAGCTGAAGGTCACGGGTTGCAATAGAAGACCCCATAGATGAAGCCATGGACAAAAAAATCGTAGGCAGAGGAACACCTCGCACCACTGGATGTTTGCCCTGGCCTCAGGACATGCTGGCTTACAAGGAGGATAGCAAGCTTCACGAGGAGTAACTGGTCTTGAGCCAGGGCAACAAGGGCGCCCAACATTCGGAAATTTGGATGAACGGAGTTCCGGACCAATTCGCCTGTGGCAGGATTCTAAAGGGTTGAGCCTGGGTTGTTTGAAGATTGAAATTGATGTTGTGCCCTTGTCGTTGATTAGATAACCCAATGTACCGCGCTTGCAATTGGCCTGAAGGTGGATGGCAATGAAGCGGGGTTGCAAGGAAAAGCTGGCTGACTGGCTGAAATCAAAGATGAACCTGGAAATTGATCAAGATGCCTTGATTGACATTCAGAGCCTTGGTGAGCAGGCTAAGATCATGGGTAGTATATTAATATCAGCCTCAGGCCTAGTGAAGGCTTGTTTCCAACCATCAGGCTGTTGTCAAACGCAGCAATCCTGGCACCCCCATATAATTGCGGGCGAGCGTGGCAGAGCCACACAAGCGAAACAAGTGGCAAGCTCCAGCTGAAGATATTTCTCCTAAAGCAAGTGATTCAACTGCCACTGAATTCAGCACGTGGCTACTAAGGATTAAGAGGATCCACGAGTACAAAAGGCAATTGATGAACATCCTGATGCTTGCCAGCAACAGTGTGCGGTGGCAAATTAGTCACGTGCAACACCCAACCCATCATGGATTCGCCGGCAGGATGAATCCAGTCACAGTTGAGCTCACATCGGTTCCCGTGAAGCCTTCAACCGGTTTTGACCGATTGGAGCGATGTAGGCTGCCTTGCTCTTGGCAGATATGAACAGCCTAAGAAGCAGCACACTCAGACCTTGGTTGGTGAGCACGCGCATGCTGCCAGTAGAACTTCGCTGGGTGGAAGACATGTCAAGGATGCTGAAACTGAAACTTTCATGCGCAGTTGTGCTGCTTTGGCCTGCCGTTCTCCAAAAATCTCTCTTCGTGATGAACATTAGCTCAGCATTGCTATGCTCACGTCCAGATTCAACTTAGTTTCGTCATCCACCGCTACATGGAGCTGAAGAAGAAGTCCCCCAGTGAGCGGGCAGCGTTCCAGAAGCGTGTGGTGCTCATCGGGGGCAAGGCTACAAAAACAAAGGGCTGCCGTATGTCTGTGTGAAGGCTTGAATAGTGGAATAGGAATAGATCTTGTGTCAGGCCGCCTCGGCTTACGTGAATGCCAAGATCATCATCAAGCTCATCAACAACGTGGCAAAGGTCATCGAGAAGGGAGTTGAAGTTCGGAAGAGGTGTGTAGGCCTACTACATGTGCCTGTCGCCTCTGTTCTTTCAGGTGATCAACGAAGATCCGGATACAAAGCAGTATCTCAAGTGCCCCAACTATGACTCAAGTGACTCGAGTTCTTAATTTAGCTGGACAAGCTCTGATCAGGTGTGCCTTCGTGCCAAACTACTGCGTCTCGGCAGCGCAAGTGATGATTCCTGCATCCGACATATCTGAGCACATCTCCACCGCCGGAACGGAAGCTTGGAAAGCATAACTGTGACGAGATATAGGTGCAAGACCAGGGATTGCTTGCAGCTCAGGAAGCCTCAGGCACCTCAAATATGAAGCCACTCGGAGCTACGTTGCAGTGAGCATGTTCCATCCACACAGAGCTCCTCAAAGGAAGTGTAGGGTGCCTCAGGGCTTTATCCATTCAGTTAGGCATCTGTGGCGCTTCATGGGGGATTGAGATGTTCAGAATGTCTAAAGTCATGCAACCAGAGCAGAGCACAACGCTCCAGTGTGAGCACACTGCGCAAGACTCCGTTCAAAATTCAATCAACTCCAATGGAACACCTGAGTGTTGGAACGCTGGCGGGAGACCTCAACTCGTGCAGGACGTCAGTCTAACAGCAAGCATAACTCCTGAAGATCTCTTCCGACATAATTATGCAGCAACTGGTCGACTGCGATCATGCCATTTGCCTAGTGGAGTAGCTGGGTCACTTGATGTGCAAGGTTCGTGATGAACGGCGGCCTGATTGTCGGAACCATGGATGGTGCAAACATCGAGATCAGAGAGGAATGCGGTCCCCTGCCGGCCTGCAAAGCTTTGCAAAGCAGTGCTCCGTCGCATTCGCATTCGACTGCAGCTGAGCTCACTTCCCCAGGTCATGACACGATGTTTATTTTTGGATGCCAGGAGCATGAGGCTGGATGCTCCATGAAAGAGAGAGAGTTTGTTTTCTGTGTTGCCGCTGGCCTTGACAGCACATTGCCGACAGTACTCTGCCAGGTGGCAGGCATTTCAGCCAGAGCACAGGAAGGTCACTACCCAATCGATGGCCGCTTGCAGGCCTGCCGCTTGCAGGACATGCAGCTGGATTGTATGCTTGCATCACGCGGCAGGCAGTCTTTGACGAAATCCGAAGCGGCAAGTTTGCGGGCCAGGACTGACAGCTTCGGTTGGACCAAATTTGCGCAAGTGATGGCTAAGCGGCTAAGAGATGCAAGGCCGAGCCAGAGGCGCAGGGCGAGTTCGAGAGCATCATCAATCGCTTGTGCAACATCCGCGCAGCAGGACTAGTCGGTCCCAATGTTGATTCAAAGGTTTGACCTGGTTGACGCCCTGCCTGTGTCAAGCATACACCCTGGCAGGGACTTGGGATGGAGATAAGCAGCTCGTGCAGCAAACAAAGAGTCGCATTCCAGTTGACATCTTTGCTCATCATTCACGCACACTGTGTGCTTGTGTTGATCTTCCGGCTTGGTTGCGCTAGGGGGTGTGCTGGGGTTCCAGACACTTTGCTTGGGAAGGAGTACAGGCAAACAAGAAGTATGCTGACGGTGTGTCTTTGGTGTCTCAGGGACTAACTTGTATAAGTTGAGCCTCTGCTTGCTGGCCCCTATGACTCGGTCTTGCTTCATTTATTTGTGCTGCAGCTTTGTGTTAAGCATGCTCCGGATTATGCTCGAAGCCGCGCCCGATTCTGCCTAAGGTATTTGGTCATCCATGACTTCCCATCTTTCATTGATGCTCAGGTGCCGCGACAGCTTTGCACGTTGTTTGGTGTTCGCTTGCTTTTGGGATGCATCTTTACTAAGGGACTGTACCTTAGCCTGACTCAGCATTTGGATCCGATCTCAGCCTTTCGCTTCCCGGACCATCAAACATGAAATTGAAGCCGTTGACTAGATAGTATGGTCCATCGTTTCCATCATCTTGTCCACGAATGTGGCAAGTCTCGAGCGCGCATGCAAACAATGTCTGATTTTCAGAGATACTTACTGGTAGCAACTCGATCATGGCACTGCTGATCTGGCTGCATGATGTAGAGAATCGGGCTTATGTCCTAGCTACAAAATGAGCTGGTCCTGTCACTTGTCAAGCCCGGTTCAGGCAAAGGTGGATCAAACCTACAAGAACCGATCGCTTTGGTGCAAACTCAGCATCCAAGCAGCTGCCTCCATGGCGCTCCCTGTCTGACAAGGAAGCAAGTTTGCTGCCAAGTCTTCCATCAGCGGATGCTTTAACATGCTGATTGATACCTAATTGAGAACTCCCTATGAAGCTTTGGTTCGATTGAACAGTCCCTATCCAACCCTTTTACACTGAATCTGGATACGTCCTCATGATCTCATTGTTTGAGGCAGTTCTCCACGGATCGCACCATCAGCGAGTATGCTAAGGCTGGCGCCCAATTTTCAAGAGCAGTTTGCGCAAGCCACCTTTTTGCCTGCCCATGCTTTTGCCTAGGTGATTTGGGGCATCGAGGCAGCCAGACGTCCTGTCGACGAGGCGGGAAGAGTGATGGAGCATCCTGCACGATTTTTGACATGGTAACTGCCAGGAGCTCGTTGCCAGGAAGCAGGTGATGGGCAAAGACAAGGAGACAGTTGCGCAGGAAGCTGCAGCAAACGCTGCTGCGAAGGAGGCAGTTGCAAAGGAAGCAGCCCAGAAGGCAGCTGCAACAGAGAAAGCTGCCAAAGATGCTGCAAAGGATGCAGCTGCCAAAGATGCATCAGCCAAGGAAGCCGCCAAGGAGGCTGCTGCCAAGGACGCAGCAGCCAAGAAAGCTGCGCAGGAGGCATTTGAGAAGGAGGTAGCTGCTAAAGAGGCGGCCAAGGATGCAGCCGCCAAGGAGGCTGCTTCCAAGAAGGCGGCAAAAGATGCGGCGATCAAGCGGGAGGCGGCTGACAAAGAGGCGGGCAAGGCCGGCTAAGGTTTTGGGAGAAGGGCAGAACAGGTCCTTGACAATTCGCACCTTTCAGCAAGGAGTTTATTGCCCCCACCCGATTCAGAGCAGTATGTGTAGCGCGTGCAGACGGAACTGATGCTGAGCTATGCAAGCTTTCCAGGCAGATGCCAAAGCAGCCGCCCCCAAGTAACGGCACAGCAGCGAGAGCAGCCGGGTGTTCTTAGAGGGACCCGTCGCGCAGAAGCCCTGCAAGTCAGTGGCGAAGATGTCTTTTTAATTATGCCTGGAAGCCTAGAATCATCTGGATATCAGAAGGGGTTGCTGATGAATTTTGAATCTCAGCTGCTGCTTTCGGGATCTCCGGTTTCCAGCCAAATCCTTATGATTCCTTTGCTTATGCAGTTCAGCTGCATTTGCTGATCAGCAAGAGGCTGCTAGTTGGTGCGGCCTCGAACAACATGCGCTGGGGATCGCACGTGCAATTGGACCAGGTTATGAAACATGGCCATCGTTACGTTGCTTTTGCACAAGATTCGCACGCAGATGACCCAGCGGGTCATCATGTTTCAAGGTTTTGTGCATGCCACATGTTGTGGCACGCACGTGTGGCATCTCCCGGACCGAATCAGTCTGGAGATGCTGCGGGGCAGATCACTGGCTTTGGCAACAGCACATACCAGGAAGCTTGTTCCCAGAACTCTCGCTGAGTTCCATCATTTCCCTGAACATTCGCCAGCATCACAGAAGTGTGCTGGAAAGCGATATGCAACCATGCGCCAGAAAACACTAACGCAAAGGACAATACGGCACTGGATGCTGCAGGAGAGGTAGGACAGGGTTGGTTGATGGGTTGTTATCGTTTCTGTTTTAGGTATGAACTCTCGAGGTCTCAACAAACTCAACCGACATGAGGATTGCTAGAAATTAGGGGCCCATGTTTTAGCAGGCATAGGCTAACCCCACACCTCACA